TTAAAAATTTTTTAAAGATAAAATGTATTTTGTTTCTCAAAAAAATGTATTTCATTTCTCATTACCAACTTTATCTTTAAAATTTATTATGCCTTTTAGATTTTATTATCTTTTTATTGTTTGAGAGTTTCATATATGCATGAAGTGTATTTTGATAAAATCCATCCCCCTTTCCCTCCTTTCCAATTGTTTCCTTATCCCCCTTCCACCATTTCAAGATGCAAACATGGGTACCCCACTTCCATTTAATTTTTATCTCCTAGAAATAATGGTGTCGGGCATCCTAGTGGTTGGTTACACACATTTAACCTTTGATGAAGCTCCTGATGAGGTGTTTGTTTTGTTTCTAGGCCTTAGGAATTCTTTACATTATTTGGATAAATGTCCTTTACATATACATACTTGAATTTGTGTATCTATGTTATGTCTCACATTCAAAGAAATTCACTGATGACATCCACAAAGGGACTGGTGAGACGGCTTATTAGGTAGAGGTGTTTATCACCATGGCTGATGACTGGGTTTGAGCCTCATTCCCCACATGATATAATGAGAGAGCCAACTCTCACAAGTTGTCCTCTGACCTCCACATGCACATGGCACACATCATCCACCCACATACGTCCACCCACAGACACAAACACATACACATGCACACAAATTTAAATGTAATTTAAAAATTAAAGTGAACAAGGAATGGTGGTGCACCCCTTTAATCCAAGAACTCAGGAGGCAGAGGCAGGTGGATCTCTATGAGATCCAGGCCAGGCTGGTCTTCATAGTGAGTTTCAGGGAAATCCCGACTCAAAAATAAAAATTAAAATTAATAAATGAAAAAAGCTTCTAAAAGTTTATGGGAATCAAGGAAGCATCATAAAAGTTAAAACAAACAGAAACAAAATAGCTAACTCACATTTCAAGAGAAATAAAGCTAACCCAAGCATTTCAACTTTGCACTTTTATTCTAAAGGAAAAATTAAATCTATATTTGTGCTGGTTCATTTTAACTCTCAACTTTACAACTTAGAATCACTTGGAAAGAAAGTCTTCATGAGGAATAAAGGTTGGCCTGTAGAATGCCTGTAGGGGGTTTTCTTGATTGTTAATTGGTATAGAAGGACCCATCCCATTGTGGGCAGCACCATCCCTTAGGCAGGGGATCCTGAACAATATAAGAAAGGACAGAGCTAGACAAAAGCAAGGAGCAAGGATCCATACACTTGCTCGCCCTCAGACCTACACATTGAGTGTGATGCTCTACGTTTCTGCCTTGATGTTCCTGCAATAATAGACCTGAAATTTTAAGCCAAATAAACTCTTTCTTCCAAAACTTGCTTTTTGTCAGAGTATTTTATCACAGAAACAGAAATGAAAGTAGGACAGCAATTGATACTGAGGAAGTGGGCTTGTTGCAAGTCATTTTTTTAGGAAGACTGTGAAAGAATTTATAGGTTTGGACTGGGAAAGCCATTGAATGCTGTGGGCAGTTTGATGGGCCATTTTAGTGGAAGCCTGAAAGAAAGTAAGGCTGAAACAAATGCGGAAAATGAGATTTCGTGAGGTTTCAGAGGGAAGCAAGAACTTTATTAGGAACTAGGCCAACAGATCATTCATGTGATATTTTTGGCAAAAAAATAAAAATAAAAAATTGTATGTGTTGATCAGGCTGGGGCTGAAGAATCAACTGTGATTGGCATGAGATCGGCACCATTGAGGTGAAACTTCTTACGCTTTATTGGGACCATAGCAAAGTGTTTCCTTAGGGTCAGTTCACACAAGCTGATACAGCTGTGATACAGGGGCAAGGCTACATCTCAAGTATGCAGCAGAATTTGCCAATGTAAGAACAGTCCATGTAGTTCTGGTTTTAAAGACATGAAAGGATCATGGACAGCAGTTAAGGCCAGGTGCCACATGACAGGATTGTAATCTCTATGGAAAGATCTGGACGGGCCACTGGTGAAGCAGATGCCTCCGTTGCAATGGAGACCACAGACTATTGGAGATGTAGGACTGTGGGATATCTCCCAAGGAGAGTTGCACTGTGGAATAGAGCCAGGGCCTAAGGGGAAGATAGGTGTGCTGTAGATGACAGAGCTGGAGGGATGGCGCTGCCCAAACCCAGGGGGGCCCAGAAGTGAGTCTCTGATGTCATACATTGAGCTACAGGACTGGATTCTACACTGCTGGATTTTGGATTTGCTTCAGTCTGATTATTTTCATGCCCTGTTTTTTCCCTTTTGGAATAAGCATATTTAAGTACATGACTTGGTGTCAATTTTGTAGAAGCCCACATTTAAGCAACTTTTGACTTTTAAAGACTTTTGGACTTTTGAAGTGTTGAAATTTTTTAAGACTTTGGGAACTTTCTGGAGTTGATTATATTTTCTATTATGATTTTTAACATGAGACTTTGGGGATACAGGGTACATAGTTATGGTTTAGAGTGATGTGTTTATGTGTGAAGTTGATAAGGGGTACATTGTACTAGTTAGTTTTAACTGTCAATCTGATTCAACCTTGAATCACCTGTTAGAGTCTTAATGAGGAATTATCTAGATCAAGTTGTCTTGTAGACACATCTACGGAGTTTGTCTTAATTGTTAATTGATGTAGGAAAATCCATCCTTTCGTGAGTGGCACTGTTCCCTATGCAGGGGTCCTGAACAGTATAAGAGAGGAGGAAGCTAGCTGAGGGTAAGCAAACAAGCAAGGATGTGTTTATTCTCTCTGCTCCTGACATGTGATGTGCCTAGCTGCCTGAATTACTGCCTTGACTTTCCTGAAATGAGTGGATGCAGCAAATGATTTGCCAAACTGTTTTACATTTGAGCATTTAGTTTTAGTTTGTAACTGCTACTCATGCCTCAGTAAATCATCTTATGCCTATGAATTTTTGTGTTGTTGGAGATGTATCTTTAGTAAAATTTCACTGAACACTGAAGTGGGAATGGTGAGTTAAATGCAAAGTCAAATGTAGTTCTGTTTAATATTGATAAATTAGCAAACTATTTTGCACTCTCACTATTGAGAAATGAAAGTATCTCTTTCTCACCAGTTAACATAATAGGTGAGAAGAGGTATTTCAATATGTTTTAAAAATAGCATTTATCATGAATTAAGTTG